TTTGTTGTCCAAGTGTCTTGGAGTGCATAGTACCTAATTATTTTTTACTCAGTTACATTTTTTGAGTAACATTTTGGAAAAGTGTACTTTTAGAAGTAATTTTACTGCACCAGACTTTTTCACTTTTACTTAAGTAATATTACTATGAAGTATCACTGCTCTTTATTGAGTAAAACGTCTGGATAATCTACAGGCTATACTTTACTAAATGATAAACAAACACGTTTTAACCAAATCTGCACCTGATACACACATCAACAATTTGTTAAATGAGAATTCTTGTTTAAACACAAGCTTTATTGATCTGATCTTAGTTTCTATCTGTTCAGCCTGCTGACACATTTAAAGGTACAAAACATAGTAAACATTATAAGTTGACATTAAATATACTTTACCCTTTTCTAGCATACTGCCTTCTGAAATAGTTTAATATGTTTTAAAAAACATTTTTTGAAAAATGCTTATTTTGCCTTTATTTGTTATTTTGTAATTATGATATTTGTGCCTGGAACTAGACATTTGGGGGCTCTAAGCAGGATATGTATCTGGGGTTCTACTTTGCCATAAGTAGACAATAAAATACATAAAAAACTAAATGCTGTGTGTAATTATAAACCTTGTGCATAAAATTCTACCTGTATGTTTATAGTGTATCACAYTTTACTGCTAACTGAGCACACTCAGTAAATGCTGTATGAGTTTGTGGTTGGATGGGTAAATAAGGACACAGTTAAGCACTTTCAGTATCCTGGTTGGTTAAAAAGCTGCTGTGTAATTACAGTCTATGTATACTTTATANAATGTTAAAATGATTCAATATTGTGAAGTACTAATACTTTGTTACCTTAAGTTGAAATTTTGGTTAATTTTGGCCAATTTATTTTTTTTATTTATAATTTGTTTTTCAGCCTGCTTTTTACTTCTACTTCATACATTTTCATGCAATTATATGTACATTCTACTCTTTACTTTTTAAAAATGCAAAAAGTATTTCACTACGTTTCACTTTGGTTTGTTTTCATTCTATCTTGTCATCATGCAAAAAACCTATTGAGATACTGAATTTATTTGTGTTTGGATGAGACGTAAATATCATTCTGACACCCTATTGGTTGTTATTGATCTATCTTGCCTGATTGATCTATATCATTGTAGGGAGTAGACTTATGTTAAATAAGCCTTTCTACATACTTCTCATAACAAGGTTATGAGGAAAGTTTTACCAAGGTATTTTCTCATTACTTTAATATTTTGACTGTGCAAAGTGAGAAGTGACACAATAAGTGGACGTTCAGACGAGTTCAAGTTGATTCATAAAAGATTATGCAATCATTTATTTACACAAATTGAACAGATCATAAGTACACCTGATTGTGGTGATTCCTATAACAAGCTTCTAAGTTAAAATGAGYTAAAACTCGCGTCCGAATTTTAATTCACATTAAACTCCGATTACTCATTTATAGAACAGTAAAACGTCAAGTTCTGATGTTAACAACCAAATAATTTACTGGCACTCTTTAGCTTAAGTTTTGGCAAAGAAATAATAAGAAAAGGATGAAAATAAGTTTAGTGTTTCTACTGTTATTTTCTTAAGGGTATGTGACAACCGGATCAGCAAGTCCRCTCTGCGCTGAGATCTCCACATGACACGTCACTCGGAACACGCTCAGCGTTACCTGTTGCTGGCTTCTTAACCACACCCTGGGTAGTCACTGGTTCACCTCTGATCAGTCAGGGAACGTTTCGTTCGACCCGCTCACTGTTACTCGGCGAAAAGTATTATTTTTAGGCAACTTTCGTCTGCTTCGATCTTCGCCAGAAAGATTCAAGCTGAAGTATCCGGTTTGGCCTTTCAAAATAAAATTCTCCCTTCGGGAGTTGAAAAACACTTAGAGATTTGAGTCTCGGATGGACAGTCGTTGCGTGCCACTGTCCTGGCCGTTAGATTCCCCTAATTGGCTTATGGGCAAGATCTACGGGCCGAGCGTGTTTCTCCGAAGAGAAACTCAGCCTTTCTTCCCAGTTCGGCATCCAGGAAGAAGTATTCTGTCTCTCAAAGACGTCCGTGTTAGTAATAGAAGCGGATGACTTTGGTTCCGCCCTCAGGCGTTAAGAATGAGTCAGGAAAAGAAAGAAAGATAAAGCTTTGCCAGCCAGGTGCCAGGCACAAGGTTAAATTCTATGGTTGTCACAACAGAATGATAACCTCTTCTTTAGCTTTTCTTTCTGATAGACTCTAAGAGAAATCACTGTAAAACATTTATGATGATTAATTAACATTTCTGTTCAAATAATCAGTCTGAA